AAACGTATGCAAAAAAAATTTGAGACGATTTTGAGCATTTTGAAATTTTGCGCGCATACTGACGCGCGGACGTACGCGCATGTGCGCGTTTTTTCAACTGAAATTGACTGGACGGATATTGACCTTGATCATGATAAATATGAATGTGAAATTACTTTTGGTTATGAAGATATGATCATGAGTTGATTTTCAGAAAATTTCACAAAATGGCGCCTAGATGACATCATCAGTCAAAGTCAAGGTCGAAAAATTTGCTGTGCTTTGTGCATATGCCTATACATATGTGTGCCAAATTTTAAGATATTTGATTGAGCCATTTTCAAATTATCTTGCTAAAAATCTTACAAAAAAGTGGGTCGAAATAAGAAAAATAAATAAATAATAAATAAATAATAAATAAAGGCGATTTTAACAAAAATATAAGGTGGTCTGTATTAGATACAGCCCACCTGATAAATGCCTTTTTGAAACTCATTCACTGTAAAATGCACATAGATATAAATGCCTTTTTGCAAGCCATACACTGTAAAATACACATAGATATAAATGCCTTTTTGCAAGCCATGTACACTGTAAAATACACATACTGTAGATATAAATGCCTTTTTTGCAAGCCATATATTATGATATATGCACTGTAAAATGCACATACATGTAGATATAAATGCCTCTGTACAAGCCATGTACACTGTAAACTCACATACTTAAAAGCCAGTATATGGCTTTAATGTGCAAACCATACACTGTAAAATGCATAAATATAAATATAAGCGTATTAAGTTATTATTCCACTCATATAAAACAAACAAGATTCAAGAGGGAGTTCCTTCTCACAATATTCACATTTCCATGTCTTAGATTTGACTCTGAATTTCCTGTTTTTAAAAGAAGTTGATATCTTGTCTACATGGATAAACAGTGTACGTAATTACCCATAAAGATCATATGATGGAGCTAATACATCAAATAAAACTAGATGAATATATTATGATAATTGATGATAATAATAATGATAATCATATTTTTGATGATGTTGGTGAAATGATGATGATGATAATGTTGATTTTGCTGATGATGATGATGATATTGATAATACTAATGAAAATAATAATATTTTTGATAATGATGATAATGATGATGATGCTGATAATGTTAATGATTGAAGAATAATAATTACAGTATAATAACAATAGTAGATTCTTGTGTACATTTGTAGTAGCACTCATGCCTGGCACATACCCACTCATGACATTCTAATATTATATTATATTCCATACAAATTGAATGATTTGCAGATTTGCATTAAGACCACATTGGATGTAGATTTAAAGCTTATCTGCCGTAGTTTACAGGAGGGATTAGACCGCCCTGCAAGATCACTGGACAGGTGGTTATCTCATCAACTCAGCTCTCAGTTAACATAAGAAAAAGAGGATCATGGGGGACCAATGGTCACCGATTAGGCATTGTTTGTTATATAGAGGGCGCAAGTAGCTATAAGTAGTGCAGTGGGCCTTTAAAATAAAACTAAAACTAGATGAATGAATAAATGATATTGTTTCATACAGATGAACACAATGATGTAAAAGTGACTTTTATAATATATCGATCCACATTTGGATTTTTAGCAAACAGGTGTTCTTTTGTACCATCCGTCACTTGAAGGGTTCTCTGTGCGGCCAAGCTGTGCAATTATTTCCATACATCACACTTACAGTATGTCTACAGTACGTAGGATAACACACCCGTGTTCACCCAATGCATCTCATATTTGAGTCCACGCAGAACTCTTGAAATTGCATAGAAATCTAAATGGTACCAAAGTTAATTTCGGAGACCAAAGATTTCCTCTATTAAACCATTGTGCGAAATGCAAATGAAATACAACACACACCTCTAAGCTTTGAATGGAAAGTTCTTTGGCATGATCTGAAGGAATTCTTGATAAGCCTAAACTACAAAATTTAGTTGATAGATAGCAGTACTAATTAGACTGAACGACGGTTAATTAGTCTTTACCCCCACGTGCAATAATTTTCAGATGTACAAAATGATTGCACCATTGAATCACAAATTTACTTCGATCAATCATTCAGGTCATCTTTCATTGATCTTCTCAGTTGCCAGGTAACTTGTATTGATTAGAAAAAAAGAATTCCCTTAAATTTCTGTACTGTGCATATATTTATCCCCCCCCCCCTCCCCCCCCCCCCCCCCCCCCCCCCCCCCCCCTCACTAGACATACATGTACATGTCTTTAACTACAAGTTTGGGATGTGTTATGTATAAATAGCACTGGTATTATGATAAGAGGGTATATTTGCTGTGTATTTGAAATATGTATTCGTACGCCTTACTTTTTGCTGAAAGTGCAGTTTTACAGCAAAACCATGCTTTGTCTGTTGTAGACCTGGCTGTTGTTTACATTAAAAGAAACTTTAACCCAAAGAATAAGTGTAGGTATTCTGAAAAATGAGATGTACTCCTGCCCTTTGATGTTTAATATTCCTTACAAAAAGGTACAAGAGATTTGTGAATGAAGATATTCTTGGCATGATGAGATGCCTTGTGGCATTAAATGGCACAGCCATTTTCTTAAAAATGTAACCTGACAGTTTGAAGTTGTGTATCAAGCACCAAGCTTTCGTTGGAAGGACTTTTTAAATCAAGAACACCTTTACTTACCATTGAGGTATCCTTTAAGAGAGGATTCAGTTTACTCAAGTAAAAAATCAAACACAGTTTATTTGTGGACAAAGGATTATTTTACTTCATACAACAGGCCTCGAATTACATCAAATTTGGGTCAAGGCCACTTTTTTGAGAGGGCACAAATCCACTGAAAGGGGCACAAATCTATCCTAAGGGGCACTAAGGCCAACGTGGAAAGTGCGCGTAAAATCACCTCACGCCGTTGTTTTCAAGGTGGGGGGGGGGGGGGGGATATGTGCACCCAGGGGCGGATCAAGGATTTTTTCCTTAGGGGGGGGGGGGGGGGGGGGGGGGGGTAAGAGGACATTTTTTTTTTTTTTTGGTCTCGAAATTTGAAAATTTGACATTTTGTTTCCTTTGGGGTGGGGGGGGGGGGTGAGGTCACCTTTTTTAGATCAGCCATTGGCATAATTTTTTTTTTTTTTGTTCATTTAAAAAAAAAAAAAAAAAGGGGGGGGGGGTTGCTCAAAAATACAGACATAAAAAAAACCGAAGGGGGGGGATTTAACGCCCCAAACCCCCCCCCCCCCCTGCGTACGTGCCTGCTCGTCTGAATACAGTTCCCCTCCATCCGCGCAAAGCGCGGAAGCTTTTACGTTTCATTAAATCATTAGAGAAAGAAGAGGATTCGTTGTACCGTTTTTTACTCTTAATCCTCGTCTAAATTCATCCCCCTTCCCCCTCCCCCGCAAAGCTCGGAAGCTTTTACGTTTCATTAAATCATTAGAGAAAGAAGACGATTCGTTGTCCTGTTCTCGACTCTTAATCCTCGTCTGAATTCAGTTCCCCCCCATCCGCGCGCGCAAAGCGCGAAAGCTTTTACGTTTTATTAAATCATTAGAGAAAGAAGACAATTCGTTGTATCGTTCTCGACTCTTAATCCTTGTCTAAATTCAGTTACCCCACCTCCTGCGCGATCGAAGCGCGGAAGCTTTGACATTTAATTTAATTATTAGAGAAACGAGACGATTCGTTGTACCGTTCTCGAAAATAATCCTCGACTGCATGAATACAGTTTTCCCCTTCCCGCGCAAAGCGCGGAAGCTTTTATGTTTCATTAAATCATTAGAGAAAGAAGACGATTCGTTGTACCGTTCTCGACTCTTAATCCTTGTCTGAATTTCAAAAATGTTTTTTGTCTGCTCCTTTTTCTTCATACGTCCTCTTTCTTTTCTCTCCTCTCTTTTTTTGGCTTTTTTTTGGGGGGCGCCCCACTGCCCCCCCCCCCCCCCCCCACCGGCTACGTGCCTGCGGTCAGATGAACATCTTTTGATGCCTTGTTCGCCCCCGGAAACTCATGGGTTGAAGGCAAATTACGGTCAGATAAGCATTCAGGGCCCGCCTCAGGGCCCCTGGTGGAGTCGAGGGTGTGGAAACCCCTGAATTTCAGGGGTTTCAGGCATTTGATTACGGTCAGATGAACATATTTTTATACCTTATTTGTGACACTGGCAGGATACTGATTGGCGTGAGGTCCAGCGGGCGGAGCCCCCAGAAGCCCATGGGTTTTAAAGCATTACATTACCGTCAGATTAGCATCCAGTGGGGTCCAGGGGGCAGAGCCCCCGGAAGCTCAGGGGTTTAAGCATTTGATTACGGTCAGATGAACATATTTTTATACTTTATTTGTGACACTGGCAGGACACTGATTGGCGTGAGGTCCAGCGGGCGGAGCCCCCAGAAGATCAAGGGTTTTAGGCACTAAATTGCAGTCAGATGAGTATCAAGAGGCCTGCCAAAGGGCCCTTGGTTGGGTCCCGGGGGCAGAGCCCACGGAAGCTCAGGGGTTTTAGGCGTTTAATTACGATCAGATTTCTTTCTTGCTCTCTTTCTTTCTATTTCTCTTAAAAATGCTTTTCAAAAAAAAATTAGGGGGGGGGGGGGGAGCTGGAGGGAGTTTCCCCCTTTGACGTTTCATTGAATTATTAGAGAAAGAAGATGATTCGTTGTACCGTTCTTGACTCTTTATCCTTTTCTGAATTCCAAGGGAAGCGCGGAAGCTTAGACGTTTTTAATAAATTATTAGGGAAAAGAAGACGATTCGTCTCGATCTCGACTACCGGTATTATCCTTTTCTGAACTCAATTCACACCCCTCCCGCGCGATGGGCGGAAGCTATGACGTTTTAATTAAAACGTATGGGAAAGAAGACGATTCTTTGTACCATTATCTCGACTCTTAATCCTTTTCTGATTTAATTCCAGACCCTCCTCCCGAGAAAAATCCAAGTTTTTCACTGATTAAAAACTGTGAAAACGCACCAAAAAAGGTCACAACGCGAAGTAAAGATGTTGAACCAACGATGGGTAAACGAAACTTACCGATATTGATTGGTTCAAATGAAAAGGATGGATTGAAAAACTAAGCCTGAGTCATTACGGTTTTTGTGCCAAACGTTTCAGTCATTTGGATGAAGACATTCTTTCATATCTCCGTATCGGCAATTAAGTCCCGCCAATTAATTTAGGAGTTCCATATAGTGGAAATTAAGTCTCGCCAATAATTATTGTTTTAGATCTCCGTAGGGGCAACAAAGTCTTGCCGATTATCATTGTTTTAGATCTCCGTAGGGGCAACAAAACCTTGCCGACTTTTATTGTTTTTAGAGCTCCGTAGGGGCAACAAAACCTAGCCGACTATTATTGTTTTTAGAGCTCCGGAGGGGCAACAAAACCTTCCGGTATTTATTGTTTTTAGAGCTCCGGAGGGGCAACAAAACCTTGCCGACTATAATTGTTTTTAGAGCTCCGTAGGGGCAACAAAACCTTCCGGTAATTATTGTTATTAGAGCTCCGGAGGGGCAACAAAACCTTGCCGATAAATATTGTTTTTAGAGCTCCGGAGGGGCAACAAAACCTTGCCGACTATTATTGTTTTTAGAGCTCCGGAGGGGCAACAAAACCTTGCCGATTATTATTGTTTTTAGAGCTCCGTAGGGGCAACAAAACCTTCCGGTAATTATTGTTTTTAGAGCTCCAGAGGGGCAACAAAACCTTGCCGATTATTATTGTATTTAGAGGTCCGTAGGGGCAACTAAACCTTGCCGATAATTGTTGTTTTTTAGAGCTCCGGAGGGGCAACAAAGCCTTCCGATAATTATTGTTTTTAGAGCATCGGAGGGGCAACAAAACCTTGCCGACTATCATTGTTTTTAGAGCTCCGGAGGGGCAACAAAACCTTCCGGTAATTATTGTTTTTAGAGCTCCGGAGGGGCAACAAAACCTTCCGATAATTATTGTTTTTAGAGCCTCGGAGGGGCAACAAAACCTTGCCGACTTATCATTGTTTTTAGAGCTCCGGAGGGGCAACAAAACCTTCCGGTAATTATTGTTTTTAGAGCTCCGGAGGGGCAACAAAACCTTCCGATAATTATTGTTTTTAGAGCATCGGAGGGGCAACAAAACCTTGCCGACTATCATTGTTTTTAGAGCTCCGGAGGGGCAACAAAACCTTCCGGTAATTATTGTTTTTAGAGCTCCGGAGGGGCAACAAAACCTTCCGATAATTATTGTTTTTAGAGCCTCGGAGGGGCAACAAAACCTTGCCGACTTATCATTGTTTTTAGAGCTCCGAAGGGGCAACAAAACCTTCCGGTAATTATTGTTTTTAGAGCTCCGGAGGGGCAACAAAACCTTCCGATAATTATTGTTTTTAGAGCCTCGGAGGGGCAACAAAACCTTGCCGACTATCATTGTTTTTAGAGCTCCGGAGGGGCTACAAAACCTTCCGGAAATTATTGTTTTTAGAGCTCCGGAGGGGCAACAAAGCCTTCCGATAATTATTGTTTTTAGAGCCTCGGAGGGGCAACAAAACCTTGCCGACTTATCATTGTTTTTAGAGCTCCGAAGGGGCAACAAAACCTTCCGGTAATTATTGTTTTTAGAGCTCCGGAGGGGCAACAAAACCTTCCGATAATTATTGTTTTTAGAGCCTCGGAGGGGCAACAAAACCTTGCCGACTATCATTGTTTTTAGAGCTCCGGAGGGGCTACAAAACCTTCCGGAAATTATTGTTTTTAGAGCTCCGGAGGGGCAACAAAGCCTTCCGATAATTATTGTTTTTAGAGCCTCGGAGGGGCAACAAAACCTTGCCGACTTATCATTGTTTTTAGAGCTCCGGAGGGGCAACAAAACCTTCCGGTAATTATTGTTTTTAGAGCTCCGGAGGGGCAACAAAACCTTCCGCTAATTATTGTTTTTAGAGCCTCGGAGGGGCAACAAAACCTTGCCGACTATCATTGTTTTTAGAGCTCCGGAGGGGCAACAAAACCTTCCGGTAATTATTGTTTTTAGAGCTCCGGAGGGGCAACAAAACCTTGCCGACTATTATTGTTTTTAGAGCTCCGTAGGGTCAACAAAACCTTGCCGACTATCATTGTTTTTAGAGCTCCGGAGGGGCAACAAAACCTTCAGGTAATTATTGTTTTTAGAGCTCCGGAGGGGCAACAAAACCTTGCCGACTATCATTGTTTTTAGAGCTCCGGAGGGGCAACAAAACCTTGCCGACTATCATTGTTTTTAGAGCTCCGTATGGGCAACAAAACCTTTTTGAACATTACAAGTCGGGTTGGCTTACGATGATTAAAATGTCGGCAAAACTTTTGTGGATTAAAATATTGTGGCCGTAAACGGTTTGATTTTGAAAAGGGCATTCCGGCCAGTGAGAGGGGCATGGCGGCAAATTGCCGATTGCCGGCGGGTAATTCGAGCCCTGATACAATAAGTCCAGAAAATGGATTAACTATTCAGAACCTTTGGACTTCGACCCCCAACACTGCACTGTGCATACCTGCCAACCACCCCGATTTAGGCGGAGTTTCTCCGCATTTTTCATACCAACTCCGAATTCCGAGTGCATGCCTCAAAACTCCGATTTTTTTTTAATTTTAATTTTTTTTTTTTTTTTTTTATTTTTATTTTTTAATAATTTTTTTTAAATTAATATTTTGTGTGTGCGTCCGCCATTTTCAATGGCAAAATGTCCATTCTGTCCTGTAAAGTATCCTACAAGCATCTCACATCAGCAATTTGGGGATGTTTATTCATACCTGCATATAGCCCACGTGTATTTATATTACATGTGCAGTTGATACGCCGTGCATAAACACTGTATACATTGGCGTGTTTTCTTCAATGCTTGTGCGATGACTGCTATCGTGGAAGCTTGTTATTTACCGGACTTCCTCAGATTTATTTTGGATTACTACTACTATATACCTTTGCAAAATAGGGCTCCTAACTGAGGTGGGTAGTGAAACATGTAGTTTTGTGAGTGTTCACATTTCAAAAATTGTTTATGTGTGGGGCGAAAAGGTTGAAGGAAAAGGCCCATTTGCACCATTAAAATGGAGAGAAAAAAAATAGACCCTAAAGTCCTGTGTACCCCCCCCCCCCCCAATCTACGGGCTACTACCCCAATCCTTCGGTGGTTCGCGACCTCGTAGTCCATCCAGAAAAATGTACTCCTAATTTCTCTCGTCTCAGGTTGGCAGGTATGCACTGTGTACACGCATATTGTACATGCACTAGGTCAAGACAGAATAATATAATATAATAATATATACTTCGATCCTGCTCAAGTCATAAAGGAGAAATCCACCCTGATATTATTATTAAGTTGGATTTCATAGAAGCAGAAAAATGAGAGAAACAGGTCAATTTAATTTTGAGCAATAACTAATTAGATTGATCGATCAAACACAAATTGGAAACTCTGTGACGTATCTTGCGAGGTTCCTTCCTGTTTTGCCCTATACCAAAATAACTTTGACAATTTATATTTTCCCTTAAGAACATTTTCAATCATATATTCACCCTAAATGTATCATTGCGAATATGCTTTTATACAACCCCTGTATGAAACAAATCTATTCCATCATCAATAACGAAGAAATTGCAAATATATGACATTTTCAGAACAATGCATATTGGATAGGAGCTCGCTAGAGTTGTCACTGTGTTCCCAATTTGTATTTTCAATGATGACAACTTCAACAATTCTTAACTTTTTGACTTAAACTTTATTCTGCGTTTATTAAAACCATTAGAATATCAGGATGGACTCCACCTTTAAGAAATAGTGATATGAATTTATAGTATATACACACTATATCCTTTGTGCAATGTATTTGTCCTCTAAATCTTAAAACCTGTGTATTTTCTACAACACTTTCTTAGACACACCCAAGGGTATAGATGATTTTACTGGCCTTAGAGTCAATTTCTGGAAAATATTTTTTAATCATCATTTTTATGCCTCCGCCACCGAAGGTGGTGCCGGAGGCATCATGTTTTCGGGTTGTCCGTCCGTACGTCCGTCCGTCCGTCCGTCCGCACGTCCGTCCCGTTTGACCGTTACGTTTGACCGTTATCACAATATCTCAAGAACCATTTAAGATTTAAACTTAAGACTCGGGAATAGTATTTATCACCATAGGAAGACGATCTGATTAGATTTTGGAGTACGTAGGTCAAAGGTCACAGGTCACAGAGGTCAACTTATGAAATTCCTTGTATTGAGTTTGTTAGCGCGATATCTCAAGAACCATTTTGAGATTTAAACTTCAAACTTAAGGATAGTATGTATCACCATAGGAAGACGATCTGATTAGATTTTGGAGCACGTATGTCAAAGGTCAAGGGTCACAGAGGTCAACTTATGAAATTCCATACATTGAGATTGTTATCATGATATCTCAAGAACCACTGGAGATTTAAACTTCAAACTTAGTGATAGTGTGTATCACTATAGGAAAACAATCTGATTAGATTTTGGAGCACGTATGTCAAAGGTCAAGGGTCACAGAGGTCAACTTATGAAATTCCATACATTGAGATTGTTATCATGATATCTCAAGAACCACTGGAGATTTAAACTTCAAACTTAGTGATAGTGTGTATCACTATAGGAAAACAATCTGATTAGATTTTGGAGCACGTAGGTCAAAGGTCAAGGGTCACAGAGGTCAACTTATGAAATTCCATACATTGAGATTGTTATCATGATATCTCAAGAACCACTGGAGATGTAAAAACTTCAAACTTAATGATAGTGTGTATCACCATAGGAAGACAATCTGATTAGATTTTGGAGCACGTAGGTCAAAGGTCAAAGGCCACAGCGCACATTATGAATGCAAAAACAGCTTGTGATCGCGTTATCTCAAGAACCGATTGATGGATTCATGCCAAAATTAGGTCATGTTTGTTACTTGCAGAGCCAATGAACTGAGTAGATTCTTGGTTCATAAGGTCAAAGGTCAAAGGTCATGGGCCCATTATGTATGCAAAAATAGCTTGTGAACGCATTCTCATTAGAACTGACAGATGGATTACTATTTAACTCAGAACATCTTGCAGAGCCAATGAACTGAGTAGATTTTATGGTCATGAGGTCAAAGATCAAAGGGTCATATATGTATATGAGAAATTGCTTGTAATCACAATATTCTGAGAACCTGTCAATGGATTACCATTGAACGTGAATTCAATTTTTTTTTTCTGTTTTGGTTTGTAAAATTGCTCTATAACGGAGGCATCATTTTCGACTGCGCGCAGTCGAATTCCATCTAGTTTAAGTATCGTTTTTTAAGTGATTGCAATACTTGATATAGACAAAGTGATGGGTCTTTTTTTCATTTAAGATTTGATTTCTGAAAAGCGTAGGCAATGTATATTTTTTAATGTCTACTGGAAATCTTTATTTTTGCCCCTGATTTTCAAATGAGAAATCCTGGGTATAGATTTGATGTCTTGGAAGAGCTTGCAATCAAGTCCTCTTAACTGATTTCTTTTCTCTGATTCAGTTAGACAAGATGACTCATGATTTTCACAGCCTTAGAATTTATTTCCCGAAAGTACTGGCAATCAGTTTTTCTACTTTCTATGATACAGGAAAGGGTATGGGGGATTGTTCAAGCCTTAGAGTTGATTTCTTAAAAGTATTTACACGAACATCCATGTCTTCTTTTATATTTAAATGATTTCGTTTATTTTAAAGACAAAATGATTGGTGATTCTTATAGCCTTGATGTTCAATTCTTGAAAATACTGGCAATTATTTTCTTTTACCATATTTCTTATTTTTCTTTTACTGATTGCATTTTTTCAATACAGACAAGACAATGGGTGATCTTTTTCGGCCTTTGCCTTCCTATCTTCATCACATCCATCCTTTACTTCAATGAAACCCCCAAGTTACGTGTGCCCAAAGTAGTGGCCATCGGCCTCCACCAGCATCCCTCACAGAACAACCTAACTGCAAGTACAAGCCATTCCACACACGATGGAAGGACCCCCGAACCCAAACCTGAAGCCATTAAGAGTGACATGTTTATCTTCTCCAAGCAGTTTGTGAATGGAAATAACGTGAGCATCGATTCTGGTGGGGGGAGAATGAAAGATGCAGGGAATGAGACCGTTTCTATGGTTATCAACAACGGGGCTATGGTGGTGGAGGACGTACCTGCAAAAGACCCTTCTAAAGATCATGAGGAGCATGTTGCTGACCCTGCTGTCAAGGATTTGAGTGGCTATGTGTCTATTGTCAATGCCAAAAATGTGAGTAATAAATGATTACGTCTTTCTCACCCCAATAATTGGTAGTAATTTTGAAGGAGAAGCGCAGGCAGATGAGGCTGCATGCAGCTACCTGTAGCTGCCCCCCCCCCCCCCCCACATTGAGGCTTTCCTTGCCCAAAATGGGAAAATGCTTGTTTTTTTTCAAAATTAATGGCCTATTCCAACTTATTCCCCCAATGACCTCAAATTAGCTCCCATTGATCCTCGTACTCCAGGAAACAACAGCCGGAAAATTATGTTTATGCCATGTTCTTTTGGGCATGATCAATAAATTTGAACTTGATAATCAGTAGTACTATTAGATAATTAATAATAATAATAATAATAATTATTATTATTATTATTATTAGATAATTGAGAATTAGTTATGTCAGCTACATGCACTGGCTCGCTTACATAATTGTCATGGAGAGGAGTACAATCATTATTTCACTTCAGTACACATGTGAGTTCAGCTTAATGTCACAAGTAAATTATTAATTGAATTGGTTATTAATGAAGAACGAATGTCAGGTGTTGGCACTCAAATATCTTAAGGTTAATTTTCTTTTTGTTTGTATTACGCACTGTGTGAAAAACTCAAGTGGGAGATAAACATGACTTGTTTTACATGTACTTGTAAATTGATATGTCTGTATATATCCATGCCACATGTCACGTTTGCTCTCTCTCTCTCTCTCTCTCTCTCTCTCTCTTTCCCTTTCTTTCTCTTTCTCCATCTTCCCTCTTCCCATTCTATTTATTATACCTCTCCATGCTGTCTCTTTATTCTTTCCCAATCTTTCTCATTTTCTTTCTGTCCCCTTTCTCTTCCTTCATCTTTCCTCACTCATCTCTCTTCTATACAACGTCTCTTCATTCTTTCCCCTTCTCTCCCTCTCTCTCTCTTAATTCCTCTTATACCATTTCTCTCCCACTCTCCCCTCTCTTACTTTCATACTTATACTTTTACTTTAATATCTCTTGCCCTTTTTTGTCTCTCTTCTCCCTCTCTCCCCTGTTTTTACCTGTGAACACCTTCCATTCTTACCTCATACATGTACCTCTTCCCCCTCTCTCTCTCCTTGTCTCTGTCTCTCTCTCCTTTTCTCCCCCTTTCCTCCCTTGAATCCTCCTCTTCTACTAATCCTCTTTCACTACCCCTCTCTCTCTCTCTCTCTCTCTCACTCTCTCTCCCTCTCTTCCTTTCCCCTTCTCTCTCTCTCTCTCTCTCTCTTAATTCCTCTTATCCCATTTCTCTCCCATTCTCCCCTTCTTCTCTTACTTTGTACATCCTTTTTCTTATCTCTTTCCCTTTTTTGTCTCTCTTCTCCCTCTCTCTCCTCCCCCTTTTTTTTAAATATTTTTTTAAACCTGTGAACACCTTCATTCTTCCCTCATACCTCTCCCCCTCTCTCTCCTGGTCTCTGTCTCTCTCTCTCCTTTTCTCTGACTCTGTCTCTCTCTCCTTGTCTCTGACTCTGTCTCCTTTTCTCTTTCTCTTTTGTCTGTCTATCTTCCACTTATACTCTTTCCTTTCCTCTCTCTCTCTCTTCTCTTTCTTTTTTCTCTGTCTATCTTCTCTTTCTCTTCTCCCCCTCTCTCTCTCCCTCTCTCTCTCTCTCCATCTTGCCCCTCTCCTCTTCTCTCCTCTTCTCTCCTCTTCTCTCCTCTCTCTTTCTTGTAAGCATGTATCCCCTTCCTTTAACCCATCTCTATTTCTTCTCTTTCTCTGTCTCTCACCCAGCACCTGTATGTGAACTGTACAAAGTGTGCCTATGTCTCCAGCTCCGGCCAGCTCTTGGGAACCAACGCAGGAGAACTGATTGACTCCTACCCTTGCGTAATCCGAATGAACAACGCCCCTACCAAAGGCTTTGAAGCCGATGTAGGAAGCAAGACCACTGTGCGTGTGGTGGCCCACTCAGCCATCAGACAAGTGCACTCAAGAAGGTCATCATTACTAAAAGGTGGGTCAATAGTTCTGAGAGTTTCATAGCAAAATGCATTTAAACCGTTGACTACTGAATTCTCTAACACCTATAGGCTTAATACGTGGACCACCCGGTTTGCAGTAGGCAATGTGTAAATACTGAATCCAACATTAGGTTGTGCTGTGATATATAAGTGGTGGTATGACATTTGCTCCCCTGTCAAAATCATACACTTAACCCTTTGGTTCCTGGAACCTGGTGGCCCCTGTATTAAGCCTATGGCAATGAATTAATTCAGTAGTCAATGGCTTTCCTAACAATTAGCGAATTTCCAGAAATCACTTCTAGGGTATAATATATATTCAAATTTCAAATTTCTGAGATCACCATGCCACCAGTTCCCCCCCCCCCCCCCCAAAAAAAAGCAAGTTTATTATTCACTAAAACTATGAAGCAATACCTGACTTAAAGGGATCGTTTACCAATGTTAAATCTGAGATATACGGCCCTACTTGATATCAGTGTCTGTGATATGGTGTAATATTGAAGTCCTAAAAAAATTGCACTTCAAAATGATCAAGAAGTGCCTCAAAAAAGTAAAAATCTTTGAGTGACCGCTTTTACCATACTCATTTTCCCCAATACACTGTAGTGTTATGAAAACCGTTGGCAAACGGTTTTCAAAATGTGTAATTCCAATCATAAATATCTTAATAATCAGACAGGCGATCGGCTTGTAAAAGTCATGGGGTTCCTGACTGACCTAAAGGTTTATAATTATCATTGCAGCATGAGCTAAATCTAGAATTTTGTTTCAGAATCTGAGACAAAGTCACCGGATCCCTTTAACCCATTGACTACTGAATTATCTAATTGCCATAGGCTTAACACGGGATCACCAGGTTCCAGTAAGCAAAGGGGCAATAGTAATGCTATCTTAATAAGATATGAACGTATTCAAGAGTCAACTGAAAGAGAAAGTATTTGAGATCTTTATCATTTTTGTTCATTTTAAAAATGGAATAATAATAATATGTCTTGTTTACCCAGGGTAGCCTCATCAGTATTCATACTGTTCTCACTGAGGGCCCTGCAATCATATTATTATTATTATTATAATGTAAACAAAGAATCAAAAATCATTTAATTGAAGCATCTTTATAAATTGTATTTTGCACAAATGATTGCGCGGTCAGTGGATACAATGATAGAAATACACAATTATTTTCACCTTTTTGTCACATGCAACACATCCCAGTCCTTACGTAAATTATATAAATTGTTGAACCATTTTTATTCTAACTTCTCCAATGATATTCTAATCCTTTTACTATACTATACTTTTACTCTTTTTTTGCATTTGTGGCACATTTGTCTCTGCAATTGTTTTGATAATGATAATAAGATCATTAGAATATTGATCTGGAATCTTGATTGTGAAATGTAATGAGAATATCATGTAGTGATTTTTGTGATGTATTTAATTTAAAATCCACTCATGTTATGTTGATTATGCTTGTGATAAGAGGGCTACATGCAAATTGAGCTTCAAGCTTTAATAGCCATCATAGTTCTAATATATGTTTAGTAAGGTTTCAGCATGTTAGCATAATTTCACATGTTCCAAGTATGTACTGTAATAAAGAAAAGGTATCCAATTGTATTCCTGAACATGGAAAAAATGACATAGAAGGCAATAAATTCAAATTAAAATTCAAATATAGAACTTAAACTTTGCTTTTCTTTGCAGATCCTGGTCAACCGCGTTTCCTTGTCGTATGGGGGCCTGAGCATCAAATGAAAACAGATGGAAAAGGAGGGGCCTACAACGTGGCAGCAAGTCTTTCTAAAGAATTTTCCAAAGATGGCATACAAGTCTTTGTGTTTTCACAACGCCAAGTAGCCTATGCAGACAGAGTCTTTGAAATTGAAACTGGTAAAAATAGGTATGAAATTACCATAATATACATGTTGACAAAACACAAGTCCCCCTCCCTCCCCCTCCCCCATATCATCTACTCTATATTTCATGAGCCATTACTGTGGAGGTCTTGACCCAATGAAAATAAAAACTCAGTTCACTCCAATCTACATGTGAAACCTGTCTATAAAGACCACCCAAGGAAGACAAGAAAAGTGGTCTTTATAGACAGGTGGTCTTTATGTACAGATTCCTTAAATACATGTTTCAATGAGAAAACACTTTAAACTGTGGTCTCTGTAGACAGGTGGTCACTATTAAAGCTGGTTTGACTGTATTATTAAAATGCAAGCTTTAAAAATATTGATAGATAATGTCAGAAACAGTTAAACTAATAGTAGAGTTGGGCTAAATCTTGTTCTGTGTAATGAATATACATGTATGTCTATAAAATACATATATACTTTTTGCTCTATTTGTATCATCTAATACATTCATTTTTTGCTTACCGGTACATAGAAATAATAATGAAATTTATCAGCTAGTGTTATTATACCAAAATTAAACACTACCTTTGATATTTTTTTGTATAATATATGTTGGGTGCCACTCCGGCTCCTCCACAATAATATAATGTGTTATCTTTTTTCTATCCTCTTTCAAGTTTGTCTCCTAGTCTTAAATCGTCAATGCCATCAATATTGGGTGACAACTTTTCTTTTGTATTTTTATTGTATTATGTTAGCCTTATACATGTAGACCTTTTATTCATATGTGCACGGTTGATCTTTTATTGTGGAAAATAAAATAAGCTTCAATATTAACTTATTTTCGCTAGAATATCGTCAGGTTCGTGGTTGAGCACTGGCTGGTTTACGATGATCTTATCTCGCGGAATCTGTGAAGAGATCACAGTGTTTGGCATGGTGACTGAGGACTATTGCAAGTTAGTGATCCAACAGATCTTCCTCTCTGTCCCTCCTTCTCTCTCTGTCTGTCTGTATGTCTGTCTGTCTGTCTGTCTGTGTGTCTCTGTGTCTCTCTATCTCTTTTCCTCTCGCCATCTCTTTCTCTCTCTCTCTTTCTGTCTCTGTCTCTCTCTATCTCTTTTCCTCTCGCCATCTCTCTCTCTCTTTCTCTCTCTCATCTCCCCCTCTCTCTCTTTCTCTCTTTCTATCTCTGTGTCTCTCTCTCTCTCTCTATCTCTTTTCCTCTCGCCATCTCTCTCTCTTTCTCTTTCTGGCTCTCTCTCTCTTGCTCTGTCTATCTCTTTTCCTCTCGCCATCTCTCTCTCTCTCTCTTTCTCTCTCTCTCATATCCCCCTCTCTCTCTCTTTCAGTCTGTCTCTCTCTCTCTCTCTTTCTCTCCCTCTCATCTCCCCCTCTCTCTCTCTCTCTTTCTCTCCCTCTCATCTCCCCCTCTCTCTCTTTTTCTGTCTCTATCTATTTTCCGCTCACCATCTCTCTCTCTCTCTCTCTCTCTCTCTCTCGCCTCTCTCTCTATCTCTCCCCTCTCTTTTTCTGTCTTTCTGTTTCCATCTCTCCCTCATCCCTCCCCTCTCCTCTTGCACCCTTCTCTTTCTTCCTCTCCTACTCTCCCACACTCTCTCCCTTTATCACAGCACCCCTCATCTCTTGCCTAGGAATTTCTCATTCTTTATTAATATTTAATGTCATGTTTTTCTATAACAGATGGTTGCAATAATGTGTTGCAATAATAGGCACATGGTTGCACTAATAATAATGATATTCACTTCTTGTATATAATACATTATGCAGGGAATAATTTTCCTGGTATCGCATCGCAATTTGCTATGCATTTTTGCATGACTGCTATACAAAATATCTTTTGTGTAGCAGTTTTCTTCCATAGAAATGTGCAGAATTTCATTTGGCATATTTATCCATCAGCTGAAATTGCTAATCAAAAAATTTGAGGAAAATTATTCCCTGTTATGAAGTAATGTCTCTATGCGCTTCCAAAGAGCTTTGGAAATTATTACCCTAGCTTTAGCTCCGGCAGCCATTATCAGTGCACAGTGCATTTCAAGGAATAATCCTACCAGGTACCCATTTAATGCACCTTGGTTGAGTGTGGCAAATGTAGATTAATGTCTTGCCAAAGGACATTAGTGCCGCGGTGGGACTTGAACCACAGACCTTGTGATCCACAGTTCGTTGACATATCCACTCGACCATGACACCTCTACCAATCTGGCTGATCGTGCCGATAAATCATATATAGACTCGCATGTGAATTGCTTTGGCAAGAGAGAAAATAAAATTTGCACCTGATGCCTGAAAAGATTGCACCAAATTTGTTTAGCTTGGACCACTTTGTGCACATTTGTTTCATTGCTAAAGTGGTCATAAAACTTTTTATGACAAGAAGGAAAAAAAAAAAGATCCCATGCTTTGCAAAGTTATCAATACAGAGTTAGTCCACACTGGTTGGTTACAATATGGTAAATAATACTTTGTTGGGCAAGCACCAAGGAAAATATATATGTCGTGTACATAAATTTTATTAATTTTTATATACCTCACTTAAGTAATCCAGCAATCTGATTGGTCGAAATTGCATTCATAAACTTTAACTGTTCCCGAAAATTCCCGGTAACCATGGTTAAAAAACAGTTCAAAATCCCAATAACCATGGTTATACAATTGAATCTCGATCGATCTTACCGACAATTTTATCTTGCATTGTTGACATTAAGACGAAAATAAACTTCCAAAAACAAAAAAACAACATCTGCCGATAGATCTTGATCTAAATTCGTGCCAATATGCATTGCAAAAGTAAAAGAAGGGCCTGTTTAATGGAGCAGCCGCGAAGCTTTCACCACGCGAAGCCGTTTCAATCCATTTTAATGTATATATAAGAAAAAACTGCTATGTATGGTAACAGAGCGCGATAGGCGAGCGGTTTAAGGCGGCGGTTTTAGTTACATCATATTTGGTACGCAAGAGTTCGAATCCCATCTTCGACAATTTTTTTTTTTTTTTTTTTTTTTTTTTTTCGGCATATAAAAGTATTAATGACTGCTTTAATATTCGAGAAATAGTATAGTATTAATGACTGCTTTGAGAGAAATAGTTGTTTTATTACGCTCAAGGGAAGGTTAGAATTGTGCTATTCCCCGAGGCTTGCCGAGGGGAATAGCCCAATTGTAACCTTCCCGAGAGCGTATGAAAACAAATATTTCTCAAATATTAAAGCAGTCATTAATACTTTTATATGCCGAAAAAAAATAGACTAAAAAATAAAAAATAAAAAATAATTTACATTTTTGTCGAAGACGGGAGTCAAACTCTTGCGTACAACAAGAGGTGTATCGAAAACCAACGCTTAGACCACTCGGCTATCGCGCGCCGTTAACATGCTTGGCAGTTTTCTCCAATATATACATTAAAATGGATTGAAAACGGCTCCGCGTGAGGGATGCTTCGCAAAAGCTCCATGAAACGGACCCTTCTTTTACTTTTGCAATGCATATTGGCACGAACTTAGATCAAGATCTATCGGCAGATGTTGTTTTTTTGTTTTTGAGAGTTAATTTTCGTCTTCATGTCAACAATGCAAGATAAAATTGTCGGTAAGATCGATCGAGATTCAATTGTATTGAAATTGCCGACCAATTTTTCGCACACGTATGGTATCCTCCATCGCTCAAACCATTTTTTAACATGTAAACCTATGGGGTAACCATGGAGACTGACCTATTTTTTTAATAACCATGGTTATTAAAAATATTGAAATGTTTTAAGCATGGTTACCGGGAATTTTACAGGAAAAGTTGAAGTTTATGAATGCAATTCGACCAATCAGATGGCTGGATTTCTTAAGTGAGGTATATAATTGTTTTTATACGCTCTCGGGAAGGTTACAATTGGGCTATTGCCCTCGGCACGCCTCGGGGCAATAGCACAATTCTAACCTTCCCTTGAGCGTATAAAAACAACTATTTCTCTCAAAGCAGTCATTAATACTATATTGTATTTTGTATTTTTGTAAATAATTTGTAATTTTTATTATATTCTGTAATGTTATCTTCTCTTGTATACTGCCTTGCTGAAAAGCAGGTTTTTAAAAAACAAACTAAAACCAAGTTAGCCAAACTCTGTGCATAGACGGCTCTGTGTGGTTGTACCTGTCTGTCCTATTTCTCCTTTTTTTCTCGATGCAGAAAAAACCCCACCTCCAAGGTGCCCTACCACTACTACCAGGCTAGTGGCAGCAAGGAGTGCTCGATGTATACAAGCAACGAGAAGGCAAAGAAAAACGGACATCGTTTCATGACAGAGAAGTCTGTCTTTGCGAGGTGGTCCAAACAATGGCCATGGATCTCATTCCGGTATCCTGATTGGTCGGCGACAAAATAGTTCCACCTCCAGTGGTCTGCAACAAAATAGTTCCGTCTCCAGTGGTCTGCAACAAAATGGTTCCGCCTCCAGTGGTCTGCAACAAAATAGTTCCGTCTCCAGTGGTCTGCAACAAAATAGTTCCGTCTCCAGTGGTCTGCAACAAAATAGTTCCGTCTCCAGTGGTCTGCAACAAAATGGTTCCGCCTCCAGTGGTCTGCAACAAAATAGTTCCGTCTCCAGTGGTCTGCAACAAAATAGTTCCGTCTCCAGTGGTCTGCAACAAAATAGTTCCGTCTCCAGTGGTCTGCAACAAAATGGTTCCGTCTCCAGTGGTCTGCAACAAAATAGTTCCGTCTCCAGTGGTCTGCAACAAAATAGTTCTGCCTCAAGTGCTCTGCAATAAAATAGTTCTTCCTGTGACTGCCATGTGAACACATCTGACTGGATCCAAAGTAAGTGCATTGTACCACATGTAGGCCTGGAGCCTGCCCTGAAATGGTTGTCCCATTTTACAAGTAAAATTCAAGCCATTTAGGTTAAGAGCTAGTAGCAGGGAATACAGACATACTTCAGCTTTTAGTATGGCTTTATTCGCTGTTATTCTTCAACTTTGTTTACTTCATTACCAATAATCTCTTTAGTTACCATTTAAGTTACTCAGACCATCTATGTTGTTTAAAAGGCCCTTCTTCATCAGCTTGAAATCGCCCAATAGCTCGCTATTTCTGATTTGGGAAATAATCCCAAAGTTACAAATCGCGTCTTCATCAGCTCGAGACTTGACCTTGAAACTTGAAACTCGAGCTCAAGAAATTAGCTCAAGATATTTTGGTCAGCATTCGCGCATAGTGCGAATCTTCAGGCTGGTGAAGATGCACAAGTAGCGGGATATTTTGCAAACTATAGCCCAAGATATCTTGGAATGATTATCTCGACCAAATATCCCGCTAATTGCAACTTCAGGCTGATGCAAACGCAAATTAATCAAATAGCGGGATATATGGCAATCTTGAGCTGATGAAGACAGGCCTAAAGACATCGTCTACCTGATCCCAACTATCAGGTTAAGATGGAGTTGAATCAGCCCATGTTAATGGGGTCGACCTGTCTGCTCCAGGGGTCAGATAATGTGGGTAAAATGGAGTGACTTGTTTCCACACACTCTCTCAGACTAGTAGGAGTCAAGGATGTTACATATGGGATGGTTAAGGATGGTAGATCTAAATGCAAGATACAAGAGATCAATCACTCACAAAGCATTAACCATTTATCTCTGGGGCTCTATGCAGGTTTACTATTGCATACTCCTATAAAGAAATATTACAAGTTTTACTACCAAAATGACAGAGATAGAAGCAATCTGTGAGCAGGAAATCCATTTCTTTCTTCGGTGGCTGCCTACAAGAAGGCTGTACGATTTATGTATCATCCCTCGAATAGGACGTTAAATGGAGGCCCTGTGTAGAGGAGAGTCACCACCTTTGCACCTTAAGAACCCACTACACTATTCGTATAAGAGTAGGGGAAAAACCTAGTGTAGTGGTCCACCTGCACACCCCCAATCAGTTATACAGGGAGGAGAGACCCAAGGGTTACAGTGATTCAGTTCACTTTTCGCCTCCCAGGCACAGGTGACACCATTACTTAATACTTACTTGATACTTAATAGTCAATGGCAGTATACAGGTTTCTTGCTGCAGGCAGTTAATGGAATTTATGATGTATATGCACAAGTAATGTTACTCCAAATTAATTCCTTGCAGGCCTTAATATGAAATAATTTCCCCCTGTTTGCTTTTTAATCATTTAGTTATCTTATACTTTTGTCTTTTGGGTTGACTTTATGTCTTCAGGTGATAAGCAAGTGACATTTTCCCCTCTTGTTTCCCCCCTTCTTTTTTGTGATTGGTCCAATTTAACCTTAGTCATGAGAATATTTTGCCCCCCCCCCCTCCTCCCCTACAGCATATCAAAAGATTTGTGTGATCCATGTGTGTGTTATTGCTTGTAAGCATTTGAACTGAAATATTTTCTATTTTCTACTATGAATGAAAGTTTTATCTATAGATCTTGTTGAGAGAAATGATTGAGTATATTCTATAAAAATAACCAATTTGAAATTGTTGAAATTGCACTTTCTTGCAAATAAAGTCCTGTTTGGAAAGGCGATATATTTTTTCTTTTCTATAGAGAAAAAAAAACATATTTTTGTTTATGAAAATGGAAGAGGGTTTGTTTACCTCAGAGCTGCAGTGATCAATACATTCATGCAAAGAGTAAGACTGAAATCATCACTGACAAACTGTTATGTAATACAAATCTTCTGAAAGTCACAAGGGCCTTGACTCTTTCATTCATGCATCCATTTTTCCTCTCATAGGGCTGTCGATCTTGAGCGCCCTAAGAGCTAAAGCTGATTTTCATACGAAGCTTCAACTTTTACGCAGAGTTAACGTCTTTCTTGCTTAGAGCTGATAATATTTTGATTAATATGTAAAATCTGTATACATCTCTTTCAATAGAATTAGAATCAAATGCTGCATAAATGCTATAAAATGATGAGAATAAGATGATAAGATGTCATTGAAATGCTGCAGTATCTAACTATTCAAAATATCTCTTTCTTTCTAAGATTCTGAAGAAAGGGCAAGTGGTAGTATGTTTGATCTGAAATAGACTAAATGTATTAGTCATTTATATGTAGTCTGCAGTAGAGCTTACAGTCAAATCTGTCTTAGCTAGTGGCCACCTGTCTATAGTGGTCGTCACCTACACTGTATATTGCCTTTGTGTAGAAGGAAATGTGTGTTGTAGAACCTGTTTGTCACTTTTTGTGTTTGCCTGTGGTGGCCTTAATAGACAGGTATTGACTAAAAATGCTGGCCTTACAAGTACATAATTATACTATCTAATAGATGACAAAATATTTTTACCAATGTCTATAGACAGCACATGTTTCTCATTGTTATTTGTCATTACGGTTTGTTTGTATAAATATTATTGACATTTGCCATTTTTGTGATTTTATTGTTAATGATTGAAGATTTTCCAAAACGAGACACCTATTTTGTAGTCATTGCACGATGTGAAACAGCTGATAATACATGTACTCTGTGCCTTTAGAAGTCTGTTTTGTATATGTGCAAAATTATGCGAGCAGCTGAGGTAAATATGTACATGATGGACTGCCTGTAGAATGGGAATATGCCAATATAAGTCCTTTGGCAAAACATTTAAAGACAATTGCCATACTTGACCCAGGTGCTGTAAGTGGGATATCTGATATGATTGTTTTCCCTTGAATTGTTAATGTTATTATAATAATAATAATAATAACAATAATAACTAGTTCTTATATAGCACTTTTCAGGACCGAAGGCCCTCTCAAAACGCTTTACAGATATATATATATTATTACCCCGGTCATCGGATTCAGGCTTACCCGCACACAATGTATGCACATTCTCCACTCCCTGGGGAGCATTCCAGCCAGGCGCTATTATCTAAGCACATTAGCTTTCGCATCCTACCGGGTACCCATTTAACACCTGAGTGGAGAGTGGCAAATGTAAATCAATGTCTTGGCAAAGGACATTAGTGCCGCGGCGGGACTTGAACCGCGGACCTTGTGATTATTGTGATTATTATTAATATTGATATTATGATTATTATTGTTATAATTATTATAGTTATTTTTATTATTATTACAAAAATGATAATAATTATTATTATTATTATTTGTATTATCATTAACATTATTAGACTAATAATGATTATTTTATTATTATTATTATTCATATATATTACACAAATATACATCCATAACATTCAATACAGGTTTTCTTTACATGTATAGGCAGCTCGGCCCCCTTTTTGTTAATAGTTTGTTTAATCCTATACTCTATTTTCTCTGTTCAGTCGTTGGGGATTTGCTATTCTTTTGGGATTGGTTTCATTTTTATGTTTATTGCTGTATGTAACAGTTCATGTTTGATGAGAAGATGATGCTTCTTGGTTGATGTCTTTCACAGAATTCAATTCCAATTGCTATTTTTGTTTCTAAAATGTATATACCAGTAATCTATTTTGTCAAGTTTTTTTATCTTACATGTACCAGTAGTTGAGATGGAAGGCAATATAATTGCAAAAGTAAACAATTTGATAGAAATATGTCCTACAGCTTTGACTATCAGTTTTTATGGAGAAAAAAATGACAAGACATCAATTTTGTATTTTGCCTGCCTTTCACCAGAAGGGGTTTAAAGATGAAGTTGAGTTCTGGTCATGCGATTGCATTGTGAAAGAAACGGTGTGGAATCGATCAGAAAAGGTTGATCATCTAGCATATAAGAATTTGTGTGTATTGCAAGGTTCTGGAATCATCAAAATGATAAGAAATTTGGCCAAGTCTTGGTAAAGTTACAAACACTGTACACAGAAAGATGTACATGGGACTACACGAACATGTGGCGTAAAAATCCTACCCCCCGAATTTTACGATGTTACATGACATATTTAGAATATGAACGCATTTGAAGAGCCATGCTTTTCAGGGAACATGTCTTATCTGATGTTCTTCCACACTTGCATAATAAGAATGATAACGCTCACGAATTATTTTTCACCTCTTCCCAGAACTCAACCTTCTCTTTAATGCCAATAAAATCATATCAGAGAAAACATGCTTGCAGCTTTCATTAGACAATTTAAGCTAAAAAGTCTTTAAGAAAGTTTTCATTGTATTTGACAATAGTACTATTCAAAGTTGTGTGTGTGTTTGTAATTGGGTTTTTACATAGGTTATTGATCAGTTATGATTGTTTATGTCTGGGAATCAAACTGTAACGTCTAGTACCTGAAAGACATGACTCAGTTTTGAACCAAGGTCAATCTAAGGTCAATCTAAGTCACTTTGAGGGTGGAATGGAGCAGTTTAATTGATTTGGGCGGATGTATATTCCAGCGCTTGTGTATTCAACTTTTTTCCAATATTTGTTAAATATACTTATTCGGGTAACTAGCCATTCTATTCCTGTTTCAATTCTTTTCCGTTGAAATACTGTATTTGTAAATATCAGTAAACCTTGCACAAGCCTTTTGTAGTCTCAAGAATTAGAGTCGGTCTATGTGGATTTCATCTTTATAAATGTATAGTGATATTGCAGTTTAATGATATTGTAATTTCTATTGCATAATGTTGTATGATATGTATTTTAAGATGCATAATTGTTATATTATATTGAATGTAATAATTTGAATTTAAGTTGTATTTTGATATTTCACATGGTTTATTATAATTCTGAGTCCATATCTGGTTTATTTATATATTTCAATCAATTTCGATGCAGTCCTTATTTTGTGTAATGTCACATTCTTTTTTACCGTTGACTTGAAATTCAATGTTTTTAACATGTTTCTTTAGTATTTCTCACTTTTCCTTCCTTATCCTTTCTTCTTTCTCTTGTGCTTAGAAACATTGTATGAAGCGCATTATAAATGTAATATATTATTATTATTATGATTATTATTATTATGTATGATTTACATCCTTCTGGCTGTGAGCACACAATATCCAAACACTTTCTGACGAAATGTCTTTATATACTACAAGAGACCACATAAAAACTGGATAAATGAAGAGATTTGGTAGAGCTTAATATATATATATATATATATATATATATATATATATATATGGTGGTGTTTGCACATACGTCTTCTGAAGAGAAATAAAACATTTTAGTATAGTGGCCTTTAGATTAAGTCTAATACTGACTTA